ATGAAAGCCAGTATTTCACTGAAGGTTCTTAGACTAAATATATAGGATTATAAAATTATAACCGGTGAAGATACATTTTAAATTGAAGTAAGAGTTAGAAAAAAAATCAAATTATGTGTTTTGGTCGTGTAATAAATACAATAGGTAAATATTTGCTGACGCTTTATATGAAAACTTGGCGTGCATACCTTGAATTTGAGACCTCAATCATGAAAATCGGTCGGGTAAAAAAGCTAAACGAACTCGGAAATAAAACTCAATTTTTTAAATGTATTTAACTAACTATTTAAATAGGGAGAACAAGATATAAGGCTACTTGTAGTAGAAGTTGTAAAGTCTATGTTTTGTGAATTAGTTATCAGTATATATTGAGTAGTATAACGAAGTAACATCACACAGGCTTTACGTTGTTTTCAAAATTCACTAAATTTATGATCTCGGATTGCGTCTTTACAGTAAAACTTAATCTCATATGAAAAGCGTCTACAGTGGGGGAAGGTGATGATGTTGCCTAATCATTTACCTCTCACTCCTGCACAAGTGTTAGTGGAAGGTTGTCTAAATTTAAAATGAAAACTATCTTAAGAATATTAGTATGATCGTTTTACTATCTTTCTTACACCACATATTCTTTAGGTAAGGATATACCTAATTTGTTCAATCGTGATACTGGCTTTCAGTTGGTTTTAACTAATTTCCCTATTGGAAGTAGCTATTACCGTAGGTGACACGATAAGACCTAGGCCCGGGACCGATTTACTTTTTCATTTTGATGTCCCCAGAGGCTACAAACACCCTTTGTTCAAATTCATATACTTATGTTCATAATTTATATGTGTCCGTTAGCGCAATAACTCTAGCAAAAATGATCAGATTTTTATGAATTTTGTTAAAAAAACGTGTAAACCTATGATTATTCCGTTAAGTTCGGACTATGGGAACATAAAAACATAAAATTTCACAATTTCTTTCTAAACCATTTTGTAGAGCTTAAAAAAAAAATAATAATAAAATAAAATAATAATAATTTCCTATAATGAATTGTTGATGTATAATTGACAGTTACGGAGATAATTTAAAAGCTTCAAATTTAAATTGACATGTTATGCTTATGGATGATAAATCAACTGTTGTAGTTTGCTTGTTTATGGATATATTTTGATAAAATTTGGCAATTTTGTTTAATTCATACTTAGCTATTAGCATTTAATAACATTACAACTCAATACTTTCCCTGTTGCAGCAAACCTACGTACCCCTTAAAAATTATTTTATTTAAATAGGAAATAAATCTGACAATTTCAGGAAATATTTAAGTAGAAATCCAGCCAGGTTAAAAACAAAATATATATATATATATATATATATATATATATAAATTCGCTTCGTCTGCTGGCGTGCTGCAGCGAGGATATTTTTAACCATCAAAACACAAAATTTCTCTATTGATCTCTAGACCTTCTTTAAATAGCTTAAAAAACCAGTAATTTATTATATCAAAGTGTTTTATCGAATTTCCCATATAGGAAATAAACTATTACCGTAGGTCTCATGGTAAGACCTAGACCCGGGACCGATTTACTTTTTCGTTTTGAGGTCCCCAGAGGCCAAAAACACCATCCGTTTGAATTCATATGTCGGTTAGCGCGAAAGCTCGAGCGAAATTGATCCGATTTCGATAAATTTGGTACAAACGTAAACCTACATTTATTAGAACGAGAGCGCGAACCAGCATAATCGGACCATGGGAACAGGGTCTTATGGGGGGGGGGGGGGGGTTATGGGGGTAAAAATAGGTTTTTCTAATTTTTGACCCTAATAACAAGAGTAATTTGCAATTTCTTTCTAAACCGTTTTGTAGAGCTTAAAAAAAAAAAAAATAATAAGTAAGTATTATTTAAGCCATGTTGTATGCCTAATGGTCACGGAGAAAATTAAAAAAAGTTTAATATCAAATTCCAATGATATTCTTATGGAGGAAATGAAAACTGTTGTAGTTTACTTGTTTATAGAAATATGTTGATAAAATTTGGCAAATTTATTAATTTTATCCCATACTATTGAGTAAAAAAAAAAAAAAAAAAAAAAAACACACTTATTACCTTCCCCTTCGCAGCAAACCTAAGCTCTAGTTATATGTAATGTTATTAAAATTGGGAATAAATATGTCTTATTTAAGGAAATATTTTAGTAAAAATGTAATCAGACAAGTTGAAATTCGCTTAGTCTGCAGGTTTGCTGCCGCGGGGATATTGTAGGGTTATTGGTAACAGAAAAAAAATAATTTAAAATGCCCATGTTATTCTTATGAAGAATATTAAATAATGTTATAGTTTGCTTGTTTGTGGATATATTTTGTTTAAACTTTGCAAAATTGATTTATTGTATACTAAGATATTAATATTTAACTAAAACCCTACTTTAATAGTTTACTTGTAGCAGCAAATTTAGGTAATCGTTAACCCTAATGTTATTTAAATAGATTTCATTGAAAATCAATTCAGACGAATAGAAATTCGCGTAGTCGGCAGGTTTGCTGCGGTGGGGGTATTTAGTTTAAATGTTAATTTGGAAATATGTCCAGAATAATTTATAGATGAAACCCCGTTTACAGAGGGCAGAGCTGTAGCTCGTGTTTTGCATGGACCCATGATTTGCCTGGGAGAAACGTGAGTAAATTACAGTACATATACCAATGAGTAAACATTGATAACATTTCAAATGCGAGTTATGTTGCATCCTCCCACAAACTACATAACAAACTTATGTTACTTTGTTTGAATATTTTATAGTGACTGTATATAAACCTGTGTATCAGCAGTAAACTCTGGTTCTCAAACATCTAGAGCTGTTCAAGTGAGAATTATAATTGTCTAACCTGTAATTCAATAACATAATCCGTACTGTTTAACTTATTTGATTTTTTGTTTCGTGTATAAGTTATGTAAATAAAACATAATAGTAATGAAGAAACAGAAGGGTGGACATTTCATATATGGTCTCATATGAAAAGTAGTAAGAAATATTTAGACATATCAGTCACACTTAAGCGTTTTGGAAGAAGAGTAGCATCCTACATAAAATATGTAGTTTAGTAGTGTAGAAACAGTGTACATGGACAGAGTTGTTAAGATAAAGCCTTTATGTATATATCTGCTTAAATACATGTAAATATAACATTCTTATAAGTTGAGAGAAAAACGTGCGTGAAGTAGGGGTCAGTAGTACATGAACTTTCCGTTGGAAACGGTCGTACTTGGACATTTAGGGGTCTAGACAAAAGTGTAAGTTTTATTTTGCAGTTTATGGCTATGAATAGCGGTGAGAACAGTTGAACAAATCAATTATAATCAAGAGCTGTTTAAGAGAAGAAGAGAAAAAGCGTCGTACGTAAAAAGCTGAGTTTTATTTAAAAACAGTGGTAAACGGACATCAAAAGACCCAAAGTGTAAGTTTTACACAGTTTTCGGCTATAAACAACGGTGATAAGAGTAAAACAAATCTAACATAATCAAGTGATTTTGAAGACTGGAAGAAGAGTAGCATCTCGCGTAAATGCTTGTGTTTTAGACGTAAACAAAAGAACACGAACATCCAGAGATCCAGAGACAAAAAAAGTAAATTTTTTACTGTTTTCTGCTATAAATATCGGTGGGGAAAGTGAGACAAATCAGTCATAATCAAGTGCTTTTGAAGAGAGGAAGAGGAGAAGAATATTGCGTAAAAACCTGTGTTTTACACGGAAACCATAAGCAACAGACATACAGAGAATCCAGATACGAAAGTGTACGTTATTTCACGGGTTTCGGCTATAAATAGCGGTGAGAAGAGCGAGACAATCAGTCATAATCAAGTGCTTTTGAAGAGAGGAAGAGGACAAGCATACTACGTAAAACCTTGTGTTTTAGACGGAAATCATAAGCCACGAACATCCAGAGATCCAGAGACAAAAGTGTACGTTTTTTCACAGTTTTCGACTATAATTAGCTGAGAGAAGAGTGAAACGAATCAGTCATAATCAAGTGCTTTTAAAGAGAGGAAGGAGAGAAGCATATTGCGTAAAACCCTGTGTTTTAGACGGAATCAATAGACCAAGGACATCCAGAGATCTAGAGACAAAAGAGTAAGTTTTTCACAATTTTCGGCTATAAATTGAGGGGAGAAAAGTGAGACGAATCAGTCATAATCAAGTGCTTTTGAAGAGAGGAAGAGGAGAAGAATATTGCGTAAAACTCTGTGTTTTACACGGAAACCATAATCAACAGACATCCAGAGATCCAGAGACGAAAGTGTACTTTTTCACAGTTTTCGGCTATAAATAGCGGTGAGAAGAGTGAGACGAATCAGTCATAATCAAGTGATCTTGAAGAGAGGAAGAGGAGAAGCATACCACGTAAAACCTTGTGTTTTAGACGGAAATCATAAGCCAAGAACTTCCAGAGATCCAGAGACAAAAGTGTACGATTTATCACAGTTTTCGGCTATAAAGTAAGAAGAGTGAGACAAATCAGTCATAATCAAGTAATTTTGAAGAAAAGAAGAGGAGAAGACCAGAAGAAGAGGAGAAGAGAGGAAGAGGACTACGTAAAACCTTGTGTTTTAGACGGATATCATAGACCACGGACATCCAGCGATCCAGAGACAAAAGTGTTAAAATGGAAGCGAACAAACAAACTTGTGTTAAGTGTAATAGAACTGTTTTATCTAAAAACATGTTGCGTCACTCAAAAACCTGTAGTGGTGCACAGGTGCGTACAATAGAACCACAGACGCCTTGTGAGTTGTGTGGTACATTAGTGACGTTATCCCACAAATCACGCCATTTAAAAAAATGTACTACAAAACGTTTAAGAGATGAACTTGCTGCTCCAGCTGCAAAGAAACCTTGTGTAGAAGATGGTGTACATTCAAATAGCCAGCCCGTGGAAATTTCAATGCCCACCACTAGCTCCGCCATAAATACTCTCCGATCATCCATAATTTCCACAAACAACACTACGATGTCAACCAACAACGACATTGCAGGACCAAAACCTAACCTAGAAATTAGAGAGTTAGAGAAGGCCTTCAAGAGTAGAATGAAAACCTATGTAATTGACAATACGCTTGCGATAAAAGACCCTGCAAAGTTTCTTGAACTATCGAGACCTCTATTTTATGATAAGGTAGTCGAGCAAGTGCAAAATAATAATGTAAAAATAAACATTGTACTTTTAACTGAGTTTAAGAAAACATCCAATAATGAAGAGATTGTTCAAGAAATCAATTTTAAAACTCAAAACGATATCACATACTCAACCACGAATATAGAAGAACAATTACAAACTAAAGAAAAGAAAATCTTGACGGAAATGGAGGAGTTCCAGACTAAAGGATCAGGTTGGTCTCTAAACAAGATACTTAACATAGAACTAAGGATCAATCGCTATGTGCCGTTAAGAGGATCTTCATACATAGACCTGCCAGGACCAATCAAAAACAAGAAAGCCACTATTAATATTGTAAATAACGACCAAAAATGTTTTTTGTGGTCAATACTTGCTGCTCTGCATCCTGTAGATTGGGTAGAACACCCTTACAGAACCCAACACTACCAGAAATATGAGCACGATTTCGATTATGCGATGAAAGGAATTGAATTCCCGGTCAGTTTGAGTAACGTTAAACTTTTTGAAAAGCGAACTGGGATATCCATAAATGTATACAGCTATGATGAAAAATGGGTTGTGTATCCATTGCTGGCAACCGATGAGGAGAAAGAGCAACACGTTGATTTACTATACTTAAAGGATGAGAAGAATTCACATTATTGCCTTATTAAAAATCTAAGTAGACTTGTTAGAGCACAGAAATCAAAGCATTCACATAGTATCCACTTATGTAGACGGTGCTTATCACATTTTGGCACAGAAGATTTATTGAAAACACATAGAGATTATTGTAAGCAGCAAGAAGCAGTTAAGATAATAATGCCCACAGAAGGTGAAACAATAAAGTTTAAGGACTTTAATAGGAGTATGAAAGTGCCATTCGTTGTATATGCTGATTTTGAATGTATGTTGACTCCAGTGGAGTCCAACAACAGTGATCAAGTTAAAATGTCATACACAAAAAAGTACCAAAAACATGAAGCTATTAGCTTTTCATATTACATTGTAAATGAAAATGACTATACAAGACCAATAACATACTTTGGCGAAGATGCAGCGCAAGTTTTTGTAAAAAGGCTGTTCAGTGAGTCTAAAAAAATAAGCTATCTATATTCAAAAGAAGCTGCTAAGCCAATGGAACTTTCAGAAGAAGACCATATTACTATATTGACGGCAACTCAGTGTCATATTTGTGGAAAAGAGTTTACAGAAGAGAAGCCGATGGTGAGAGACCATGATCACCTTACAGGAAAACTAAGAGGTCCAGCACACAACGCTTGTAATTTAAATTTTAGAAAACCTCATTTCCTCCCCATATTTATTCACAATCTTTCTGGATACGATACTCACCTGTTTATCAAAATGTTTGGATTGAACGATGACACTATTGATGTTATACCAAATAACGAAGAAAAATATATTTCTTATACTGTTCATGTAAAAGGAGGTATTGATTTGAGATTTGTAGATTCAGTTAAATTCATGTCAAGTAGCTTAGACATACTCGTCAAGAACTTATCTCCTCAACATTTTAAGCATACTTCGAAGTACTACTCGAGTGAACAGCTGCAGCTGTTGCAAAGAAAGGGTGTGTACCCTTATGACTTTATGGACTCCTTACAGAAATTTGAATACACATCACTCCCACAAAAGAAAGACTTCTACAACAAACTAACCATGACCAACATTGAAGATGAAGACTACGAGCATGCAAGTAAAGTTTGGAACGAATTTAATATACAAAGCATGAGAGCATATACTTTACTATACAACCAGTCTGATGTATTGCAATTAGCAGACGTCATGGAGAACTTTCGAAACATTTGTATGGAGACTTACCAGCTTGACCCAGCATGGTACTACACAGCACCAGGACTAGCTTGGAGTGCGATGCTCAAAACAACCAAGATTGAACTTGAACTTTTATCAGACTACAATATGGTTCTAATGATTGGAAACGGGATACGAGGAGGATTATCACAATGTTCGAACCGGTACGCCGCTGCCAATAACAAATACATGAAGGAAAATTATAATGAAAATTTACCCACGTCATATCTTACATATCTTGACGCCAATAACTTGTATGGATGGGCTATGAGCCAACATATGCCTTACTCTGATTTCAAGTGGGTTGAAGATGTTCACAACATTGATATCTTATCAGTTCCAGATGATGGAAATACGGGATACATATTGGAAGTAGATTTAGAGTATCCCCAAGAATTGCACGACCTACATTCCGATCTTCCTTTAGCACCTGAAAGACAAATACCACCCGGATCTAAACAAGAGAAACTTCTGGCTACATTGTTTGACAAAAAGAGATATGTTCTACACTATCGGAATTTAAAGCAATACATCTCTCTCGGTTTGAAATTAAAGAAAATTCACAAAGCAATCAGTTTCACTCAGAGCAACTGGCTTAAACCTTACATCGATCTGAATACTAGCATGAGAACTAAGGCCACAAACAATTTTGAAAAGGATTTCTTCAAGCTTATGAATAATGCCGTGTTTGGCAAAACCATGGAAAACATTCGGAATCGTGTGAACATCCGGTTGGCAACGAAGGAAAAACAAGTAGACAAGTGGTTGGCTCAACCAAACTTCAAGAGGAGGACAATTTTTACGGATCAACTTGCGGCAGTACACATGGGTAAAACAAAACTGTTATTTAACAAACCTATTTATTTGGGTATGAGTATCTTAGATATATCAAAGACGCTAATGTACGATTTCCACTACAATGTAATAAAAACTCGATACAAGGACAAAGCTCAATTACAATATACTGATACAGACAGTCTGACCTATCACATACAAACCGAAGATTTCTATGATGATATGAAGGAGATGATAGATTACTTTGACACAAGCGATTATCCACCGAATCACCCCTGCTTCAGCACCGCAAACAAGAAGGTGATTGGAAAATTCAAAGATGAACTCAAAGGAAAAATCATGTATGAACACGCAGGGTTACGATCAAAGATGTATGCAAGCAGATCTGAAGATGAACATCTCATAAAAAAATGTAAAGGTATAACCAAATCAGTAGTGGAAAATACCATATCTTTTCAAGACTATAAGGACTGTTTAAAAACACGTGTTGACCGGTATTGTAAGATGAATATGATAAGAAGCTACAAGCATGATTTATACAGTATTGAGCTTAATAAGATTGCATTATCAGCTCATGATAATAAAAGATACATCTTATCCAATGGGATAAGTTCCTTACCATGGGGACACTCAAAAATTCCACAAGAAGAATTCGTCGAGATGGAAGAAGAACACTCGCTTTCGACAGACTAAGCTTGAAGTAATTTGCATAAGGGGGGTCTCCATAGCACAGGGTTATTTGGTCTAGACCTGTGTGAACCTCTTCCCCCCAATAAATAACTAAAATTATTAATAAAAAAGAAGAACAAATTTATATAAAAAAAATTAAAAAAGAAGAAAAACGAGAAAAAAAGGAAAAAATAACAAAAGAAGAAAAAGAGGAACCTCTAGCATGGTGGTGAGGTTGACGTTTCTCTAGAGGCTTTTTAACTAACGACCACCGACCAATAAACACCACAGTAAGTGTGATTTTTATTTTTTATTAAATTATTAAAACTTACAGTTTGAAATATAATATCTTAATTCTAAACTTTTTTGTGTTAAGTTTACTATAAAAAATGTATGTGAAGTATGTAGGTTCTATTAATAAACCCTGCCATAGACACGATACTTCTAGTAATACCCCCACCGCAGCTTACCTGCATAATTTGTGAATTTCCATTTGCCTGATTGGATTTACACTAAAATGTCTCCTTAAAAATATCACATTTATTACCTATTTAAAAATAATTATTTTAACAAGTACTTAGGTTCGCTGCAACAGGGAACAGTGTTTTTTTTTTTTTTTTTTTTTTTTTTTTTTTTTTTTGATAGTTTTGTAAGAATTGAATGTATTTTCCAAATTTGATCAAAATATCTTCACAAACAAGCAAACTATAACAGTTGACTTTTTCTACATAAGAATAACATGGGAATTATACATTTTGTCTTTCAGAGGCCTTGATTCTTTGGATTTCAAAGAAAGGAGTAAATCCTAGTTAAATATCTGCAGTTAAGGGTAATTTACAGGTTACCCGTCATCAGGGACAAAGTGAAAAAGACAAAATAGGTAATCACCTAATTAAGATTGTTACTAGTTAGGAATGGTTAGTTAACTGATTTCTTTATTAATTTATCCGCTTAAAAGCGTTGATTATAACAGGTTTACTGTAGGAAACAGGTATCTCAACAAGATTAAGAAATGAATAAACAGTCTAGATATACAAAATAATAGGTGGGGATGGCAACAGTGATGAGTAAACAAAGACAGAGTTGTGAGGTAGTGCATAAATTGTGTTGAATGTGTTTATTGTTCCATTAAAAAGTAACTGTAAGTTAAATAGCTCAACAAAATTGATACAAACGGTGGCTGGTAAGGATCGAACCCGCAAATCTCTGAGGACAGCAGATACAACGCTACGATACAACCCCGTACCAAAAATCAATTTATCACCCCGACCGGAAATTAAGCGTATGATGATTTGTAAGGATCGAAACCTCTGAGATCAAGAACTCACACTACTCCCACAACGATACAATACCATACCACAAAAATCAACATATTACTCCGACCGGATATGATACAAACGGTGGCTGGTGAGGTTCGAACCCCCAAACCTCTGAAATCATAGGTCTACATTCTAGACAAGTTAACTACTCCTACTACAGTGCAACACTATACTAAAACTCAAAATATCACCATAACAGTGAAACATTTTTTGATTGGTAAGAATCAAACCCGTGAACCTCTGGCTCATACACAACCAACTGTTAGAAAAAAAACATTATTCAGATTATCCATCATCTCAAGAAAACATAACATCTATGAAATGTCCATTTAACATTCAACAATTATTGGTGGCCTTTAGAAAGGCCGTTTTTTAAGCTCAACGGTAAAGTTCAGATTAAGCCTTCTTTCAGCCGTTTTTAACAGAGGATACGATAATTATCATTTGTTTGGCATTTGTTATAGACTACAGCATATAGATATATAAAATAGAATAAAAATATAATGTTTTTATGTATATTACACACTCTGTATATATGTACATTAGGAAATTAATGTTGTCATTTACCACTATAAACACAGTAGGGTACCTGTAACTGGCATCGTATCCCAATGGACAAGATTTCAAACCCTCATTTAGGAGACCGGGGTTCGATAACCGGTCGCACACACTTTTTATCCATAATTTAACAAATAAACAAATATAGTTTAATAATTGATATAGTAAAGAAAGATATGCATATCCCTTAGTCAGTCCCATGACCAATCAGATGACATCGCCCCAAGAGCTGTCTCTTGGGGCGATGTAGAAACGGCGTATTCTCGAATTCCGGAAAAATGGGCAGTCACGTGACCGTCTCGACCAATCAGATGGCCGGCTCTTGGGGCGGCTTCAAAACGTGGGCAGTCACGTGACCGTCTCGACCAATCAGATGGCCGGCTCTTGGGGCGGCTTAGAAACGCCATATACCATACTACTAACGTGTTTTTGGCCGCCATCTTGGATCTGCCATATTGGACATAGATAATTTTTTTTCAAAGTAATGATAGTGTTGTGACACATCATTACCAACTACATTTTTACACTGATTTCAATGCCGAAATCCGTTTTTAAATATCTGTATTCACTTAGAAGATATATTCAAACAACAACTCTCCACCATACATTTCTTATGAACGTTTCGTAGTTTGATAATTTTAAAAAAAAATTTCTTATATTAGTGCAGTAGAAATAGTGTTAGTAGTCCAGGCGGGGATCGGGCAGAAATTGACCTTGAGATGATCTAGGTGTACTCTCAGCTGTTTATCTCGAATGCGCATGATCAGCTGGTCTAACTATAGCTAACCACAGCTGATTAGTTGACCACGTGACGTCAGTAGGTGTTTGTATTAAATTAAATATTAAATTATTATGGATAAAAAGTGTTGGCCTGACCGGGTTTCGATCCCCGGTCTTTTTAATGGTAGTTGTACGCGTTAGCTGGTTGAGCTACAACAGCAGTTGTGGGTATAGAGTTTATAGTGGTAAATGACACCTTGTACCTATATAACATATATACAGGGGGTGTGTATTGGAGGTTTGATTTTAACCTATCATCGGAGGTTCACGGGTTCGAATCTAACCTATGCTAGAGGTTCATGGGTTTGAATCTAATCTAACATAAAATATATCATTTTCGGTTATTTAATCCTAACCTATGTTAGAGGTCTAAGGGTTCAATCCTGGATGTAATCTAACTACAGTTGATTATGTCACCTGGTTTAGAGGTTCACGGGTTCGAATCTAACTAACCACTAATGGTATTATAGTGGGAGGTCTATAGGTTTAATCCTATCCTAGTAGGATTTGTAAAAAAAACACTTTATATAGTGTATAATGCTTAAACCTTACTGTTGATCATAATTGGTAAATGTTGGAGGTTATTTTATATATGCTGTAGTGTATAATAAATATAAATCAGCTGAAAGAGGGCTTAAGTGGAATTTTACCGTTGATCATAAAAGAATGTTAAATGTGTAGTAGTATTGGAGGTTATTTTATATAGTGTATAGTGCTTAAACTTTACCGTTGAGCATGTTATGTTGATATTATAATTTGTATATGTGTATTTCTGTAACTTACATATACAGGGTGTGTAAATATTGGTTAGAGGTCTGTGGGTTTAATTTTAGCCTATACTAGAGGTTTAATGCTAACTAATATATCATTGGAGGTTTTTCTATATATGCTATAGTGTATAATAAACGTGAAACAAATGATAATTTATGTATCTGATGTTAAAAACAGCTGAAAGAAGGCTTAAGTTTACCATTGAGTATAAAAATGGCCTTTGTAAAGGCCACCAAATATCATATGTTAAACTTATATTTAATCTATGCTAAATGAGTTACTTAGGTTGTTTTTTGTATAGTGTTGTAATGTAGAGGGAGTAGTGGGTTCGATTCTTACCAATCACCAATCATTTCCGGTTGGGGTGTTTTTTCTGTTGGTATAGTTAACTGTTTGTATATGAGTCCAGAAGGTTTGATCTCTTGTATATGTAACATAACCCCACTTTTTACCTATTACTACTGGAGTGCTAGTGTTGATGGTATAATCATAATAATGATTAACTTAATATAAGATTCATCATAACAGATTACTAAGTGTTGATGGTATTAGTTTATAAATTCTCTACTAGGTTGCAATACTAGTGCTACCAACTACTGTTAGCCACTTATGTGACTTTGTATATGTAACATAACCTCACTTTTTACTTATTAATTTATTATTAAGTGTCGATGGTATGTTACTCTGAGTTGAGGTATTAGTTTACAAATTCTCTACTAGGTAGCAGTATTAGTGCTACCAACTACTGATTATATTGTATATGTAACATAACCTCACTTTTACCCAAACCACTTTGTTAATTCACCACTAGAGCGCCAGTGTTGATGGTATTAGTTGTCATAGTTTACAAACTCTCTACCAGGTTGCAGCACCTGTGTCTAGCTAACTATTGTTAGCTGGTTATTTGATTTTGTAACATAACCTCACTTTTTACCTAAACCAGTCTATTAATTTATTATTAAGTGTTGATGGTATTAGTTGTCATAGTTTATAAATACTCTACTAGGTTGCAGTACCTGTGTCTAGCTAACTACAAGTCAGGCATTTTGTAACATAACCTCTGTTTTCCTACCAAGTTTATAATAATAAATGTATAATATATGCTTGATTTACTATAATAAATTATACTAATGTACTGTGGTATTAGGTAGTTGTAGCTGTGTTTTACCAACTACTGATTATATTGTATATGATATAACCTTTGTTTTGTGTTATCTGTTTTTTATCAACTGTTTCTACTAATCGTTTTTTATCAATGGAATGCTTTTATGATGTAATATAAGTTGGGGAAAATAATAAAAACAGCTGTAAAAGCTAAAAATGAATTTATATTCTAACTAACTTATATTATATTTCTACTTATACTATTTACATGGAATGGGCACACGGGAGGGACTAAGGCTAAAGGTGGTGTGACGTCATATCTCTAGTGGCTAATGTCTTCTCTCGAGGCAACATGATTACCGTAACGAAACGATGTGATTTCAGCGGTGTTCGTGGCATAGTTGGTAGCGTTTCGGATTGGTGTACAGGAAGTCGCGGGTTCTAATCCCGCTGGCAGCATTAACTTTTTGTCAACAAATTTTTCATATCAGC